CCAATTCTTCTGGGTAAATTGAGGCAGTGATTACCTGGAAGATTAGATGCCACTGTTGCCCCCCCATCAAAGGGCCGTCTTCCTATGCCCCATATGCTGGTAGGGGGTCCGCATTGGACAAAACACCTTACAACACTTGGCTTTTGTTCCTTCAGTCGCTGCTGTTCTATCCTCCCACGGGGGGCGTGTGTCTTTTTGCCAGTGTCAGTCATCCTGAATGGGATGTGAGAGGGAGGATCTCTTAGTCTTGGGTGCAGTTTTGCTGGTAATGTGGGGAGAGCTGTTTTATGGTATTAAAAAGCCACCTTGGGCCGCAGAACTGGTTGGGGACGGGGGTTGTTTAGACAGCTATGCTGCTGTAAAACCCTCCTGGTGTAGAACCACAGAAATATATAGGGTTGGAAGGGGCTGCAAGAGGTTATGTAGCCCATTCCCCATCCCTCATGCTGAGGCAGGGTGACATATCTGATGGTAATTGGAGGCTTTTAAGATTAGATTACACAATGATGGGGATTTCCTGAGTAAACAAGGACAAAGCCATGGGGGCCAAGCCCACAAAGGCCTCAAGTGTGTTGGGGTCCTAGATGGACACATTCCCCTCCATGTTGCTGCTTATCTGTCTCAGGTGGCTGGATGAGGCTGCTGAACCAGAAGGCAAATGTGAGGCTTTTGTGGCATTTAACTGCAGCTTTGTTGCCCTAGATTTGCAGAGGCCCCTGCTACTTTGCTGGACCAGTGGGGCCACTGGACGATCGAGGTGCTAAAGGAGCACTCAAGGACGACAAGGCCATTGTGGAGAAACTAAATGAATTCTTTGCATCGGTCTTCACAGCCAAGGATGTGTGGGAGATTCCCCAACCTGAGACAGTCTTTTTTAGGTGACAAATCTGAGGAACTGTCCCAGCTTGAGGTGTCATTAGAGGAGGTTTTGGAACAAATAAACTGAACAATAATAAGTCACCAGAAGCAGCTGGTATTCACCCAAGAGTTCTGAAGGAACTCAAATGTGAAATTGCAGAACTACAAACTGTAGTCTGTAACCTATCATTTAAATCAGCTTCTGTACCAAATGATTGGAGGATAGCTAATGTGATGCCAATTTTTAAGAAGGGCTTCAGAGGTGATTCTGGCAATCACAGGTGGGTAAGCCTGACTTCAGTACTGGGGAAACTGATTGAAACTATAGTAAAGAACAAAATTGTCAGACACATAGATGAACATAATTTGTTGGGGAAGAGGCAATAGGGTTTTTGTAAAGGGAAATCATGCCTCCCCAATCTGCTAGAGTTCTTTGAGGGGGTCAACAAGCACGTGGATAAGGGGGATCCAGTGGATATAGTGTACTTAGATTTTCAGAAAGCCTTTGACAGGGTCCTTCACCAAAGGCTCTTAAGCAAAGTAAGCTGTCACGGGATAAGAGGGAAGGTCCTCTCATGGATTGGTAACTGGTAAAAGACGGGAAACAAAGCGTAGGAATAAATAGTCCATTTTCATAATGGAGAGAGGTAAATAGTGGTGTCCCCCAGGCGTCTGATCTGGGGCCAGTGCTGTTCAATGTTGTCATAAATGATCTGGAAAAAGGGGTAAACAGTGAGGTGGCAAAATTTGTAGATGATACAAAACTTCTCAAAATAGTTAGTTTCCAAGCAGGCTGTGAAGAGCTACAAAAGGATGTCTCAGAACTGGGTGACTAGGCAACAATATGGCAGACGAAATTCAGTGTTGATAAATGCAAAGTAATGCACTCTGGAAAACATCATCCCAACTATACATATTAAATGATGGGATCTAAATTAGCTTTACCACTCAAGGAAGAGATCTTGGAGTCATTGTGGATAGTTCTCTGCAAGCTTGCACAGTGTGTGCTGTGGCAGTGAAAAAGGCTAATAGAGTGTTGGGAATCATTAAGAAAGGGATAGATAAGACACAAAATATCATTGCTTCTATATAAATCCATGATATGCTCACATCTTGAATACTGTGTGAAGATGTGGTCACCCGATCTCAAAGATAGATTGGAAAAGGTTCAGAAAAGGGCAACAAATTATTAGGGGTATGGAATGGCTTCTGTATGAGGAGAGATTAAGATGGGAGGGGGGCTTTTCAGTTTGGAAAAGAGATGACTTGGGGGGATCTGATAGAGGTCTATAAAAATCATGCCTGGTGTGGAGAAAGTAACTAAGTGTTGTTTACTCCTTCTCAGAACACAAGAACTAGGGGGTCACCAAATGAAATTAATAGGCAGCAGATTAAAAACAAAAGGAAGTATTTCTTCACCCAACACAGTCAGGCTGTGGAACTCTGCCAGAGGATGTTGTGAAGGCTGAGTAATAGGATTCAAAAAAGAACTAGACAAATTCATGGAGGATAGGTCCACCAATGGCTATTAGCCAGGATGGGCAGGGATGGTGTCCCTAGCCTCTGTTTGCCAGAAGCTGGGAGTGCATCACTTGATGATTATCTGTTCTGTTCATTCCCTCCAGGACACCTGGCATTGGCCACTATTGGAAGACAGGATAGGGGTCTAGATGGACCTTTGGTCTGACCCAGTTGGCCATTCTTATGGTCTATGTTCTTTGTCAGCCTCCCCAAAGAATATGTGCCATGCCATCTGCATGCTTCAGGCTGGAGGGTTTTTAGGAGATCTAACTTGCAGAGCTATTAACAATGGCTTGGATTTCACTCTTTGCTTGGTAGTTTGGACTGTGTCAATACACAAAGTCAAGGAGGGAGAGTAGCATGAAGCATGGCCACCAGGAGAGCTAGAAGTGGACTTAGATGCAGCTGTAGACACCTCCAGGAGCGAAGTGTTGGGGAGTTGATGGGGGAATTCTCTCCTATCCCCAGAAAACTTGGTAGGGCTGTGGGACATCTAATGCTTCATAAAGGGAAGCCATAACCTTACTTTGTTCAGAGGAGAAACTGAGTCAGGGCAGATCAAGTGACTTGGTTGATGGTTCCACAGATTGAGTGGAAACGTTGGGCCTAGAATCCAAATCTCTGAGCTCAGCGTCCTGTGCCCTACTGCAACAGACCATTCTACCTTACTTGGGAACAGCCGCCACGCTACAGCGGGGCTTGGCTGTAGTTATGTCTCTAGCTGACAGTTACTTTAGTGGCCAAATGCTGCCTAATAACGATCTTCGGCACCAGCCCCCTTACTCTTCCTCTGCACATAGGATGGTCTCTACAGGGTAGGTGTGCTTCTTTCTTTTAACTTGCACCTAAGCAACCATCCTTTCACACCAGCTGTCCTTCTCATCCGTGTGTGTATTGCTTTAGTAGGTAGTGGTATCGCATCCGAGTCTGCCTCTGTGCTTGGAGATCCCCAGCATAATGCCCCTGTTGCTGCCTCTGAAAAGCATCACGCTGAGGTCCTGTAAGCATCCCATGGAGCAACTTGGATGTAAAATGACCACTAGTGGAGCTGTGTAAACCCCAAGACCTGAGGCTGCCCCCTCCATCTGGTGTTCATCCAACTTGCTATCATTGATTATGGGACTGGCTTCTTCATTTGTATTGTAGTGCCTAGGAGTCCAGGCATGGAGCAGGCCCCCATTGTGCTAGGGCCTGTACAAACAATGAAAAGACCACCCCTGTCCTAAAAAGCTTACAATGCACATTTATTTTATTTCAGAGTAGGAGCCGTGTTAGTCTGTATTCGTAAAAAGAAAAGGAGTACTTGTGGCACCTTAGACTAATACTTATTTGAGCATGCTCAAATAAATTTGTTAGTCTCTAAGGTGCCACAAGTACTCCATTTATTTTATTGTGGGTTTATTACACTGGTAAGGTGATGCCCTCTCTCAGAGAACATGCTGTGCTCTGTGCTAGGTTCTTCTCAAGTTTCCTTCTGTCTCCTTGGACTTCCTATGCCCTGGGTAAACTTAGAGTATTCCAATAGCCCTGTCTGACTGACTCGGCTGTGCCATGGAACTTCCCCACAATAATTCCTAGAGCAGACCTTGAAGAAAAGCATCCAGTCTTGATCTGAAACCTGCCCATGAGGGAGAATCCATCACGACTCTTGATAAGTTGCTCCTATGGTTACTTACTCTGTTAAAAATTGACACCATATTTCCAATCTGAATTTGTCTGGCTTCAGCTTCCAGCCAGTGGATCATGTTCTTCTTTCTCTGGTAGACATATGAACCCATTATTAAATCTTTATTAAGTATTTGTGTGTTGATGGGTATGGGGGGAGGCAGGGGGAGCAGTGTGGATTCCAGCATCGGTCTAGGATAGTCGTTCTCAAACTTATTTGACCGTGCCCCCTTTTTTGTGTCTATAGAATTTTACACACACACCCCCGCCTCTTACCACACAAGTACGTATACCAATTTAACAAATATCAACATGCAACTCTCACTAGATATTAAAAATAGTAAGGCATTGATTCAAGCAGAGCCAACGATCCAGTGTAATAAGAGCAAAAGCACAAAACTGATTGTGGTTGCTGCTTACAATTAAATGTGCACACTGTGTCGTAGCAAAGGGATGATTGCACAGAAGGCAACGACTTTATATAATGCTATGCAAGCTCAACAGAACTCCATCAAACTGCCCGGTGCCATCGGAGGAGCCGATATCTCTGGAGGAATCGGGTTTGGTAGTTATTCAGGGCTGTGGGTGAAATGTGTGCAGTAAGTTTTTTTGCCCCTTAAACTTCTCCATCCCCTCCGCATCCCCCACCCCCTGCAGTTTGAGTTTGTCTGGTCGAGGAGTTTAGTGCTGTTAGGACCATTCCCCGTGAATGCCATATGGAGGTTTGTGGTATATAAGAACTAGACAGACACATCTCTGCTGCGGTGGGCTGGCTCTTTGTAACCTTGTAGCCCACCTAGACCTTGAAACTGAGCAAGGCCTCACTTCTGAACTCCAGGGCACAGGCTCCAATTGTGGTTGATCCCCTCAGAGCAATGGCGACCGGAAGTAGAGGTAGCCCCCTCAGAGCAATGGCGACCGGAAGTAGGGTAGAGGCTTAGCCCTGCAGAGCAATGGCTGCCCTTAGGAAATCATAGAGACGGGGGTCCAGCGGAGGCGTCGCGCACCATAGAGTGGCGCTGTGTCCGGCCCAGAGCGCCTCCCCGGCTCGCTCGTTGACTCTCCCCCAAGATGGCGCAGCAGGTGAACATCACGGAGCTGACGCTGCCGCAGCTCGAGGTGCTGAAGAACCAGCTGGACCAGGTCAGGGCCCAGCCCCGGAGGGACCCCCCGCACCCCCCGAAAGACCCCCCCTTCTAAACCCTCCCCCAGCCCCGTCTGAGGGGCCCCGACCCCCCAGAGAGAGACCCCCCCCGCTCCCCGCCCCGTCTGAGGGGCCCCGACCCCCCAGAGAGAGACCCCCCCGTTCCCCGCCCCTCCCAGCCCCGTCTGAGGGGCCCCGACCCCCAGAGAGAGACCCCCCCCCGCTCCCCGCCCCGTCTGAGGGACCCCAACCCCAGAGAGAGACCCCCCGCTCCCCGCCCCTCCCAGCCCCGTCTGAGGGGCCCCACCCCCAGAGAGAGACCCCCACCGCTCCCTGCCCCTCCCCGCCCCGTCTGAGGGGCCCCACACCCAGAGAGAGACCCCCCCGTTCCCCGCCCCTTCCAGCCCCGTCTGAGGGGCCCCGACCCCCCAGAGAGAGACCCCCCCGCTCCCCGCCCCGTCTGAGGGGCCCCACACCCAGAGAGAGACCCCCCGTTCCCTGCCCCTCCCGCCCCGTCTGAGGGGCCCCGACCCCCCAGAGAGAGACCCCCCCGCTCCCCGCCCCTCCCAGCCCCGTCTGAGGGGCCCCACACCCAGAGAGAGACCCCCCCGCTCCCTGCCCCTCCCAGCCCCGTCTGGGGGGCCCCACACCCAGAGAGACCCCCCGCTCCCCGCCCCTCCCCGCCCCGTCTGAGGGGCCCCGACCCCCAGAGAGAGACCCCCCCCCGTTCCCCGCCCCTCCCAGCCCCGTCTGAGGGGCCCCACACCCAGAGAGAGACCTCCCCGCCCCTCCCAGCCCCGTCTGAGGGGCCCCGACCCCCAGAGAGAGACCCCCCGCTCCCCGCCCCGTCTGAGGGGCCCCCACCCAGAGAGAGACCCCCCGTTCCCTGCCCCTCCCAGCCCCGTCTGAGGGGCCCCGACCCCCGAGAGACCCCCGCTCCCCGCCCCGTCTGAGGGGCCCCACACCCAGAGAGACCCCCCGTTCCCTGCCCCTCCCAGCCCCGTCTGAGGGGCCCCACCCCCAGAGAGGCCCCCCCCGCGCCCCGTCTGAGGGGCCCCACCCCCAGAGAGAGACCCCCCGCGCCCCGTCTGAGGGGCCCCGACCCCCAGAGAGACCCCCCGTTCCCCGCCCCTCCCCGCCCCGTCTGAGGGCCCCACACCCAGAGAGACCCCCCCGTTCCCCGCCCCTTCCAGCCCCGTCTGAGGGGCCCCGACCCCCAGAGAGAGACCCCCCCCGCTCCCCGCCCCTCCCAGCCCCGTCTGAGGGGCCCCGACCCCCCAGAGAGACCCCCCGCTCCCCGCCCCTCCCCGCCCCGTCTGAGGGGCCCCACCCCCAGAGAGACCCCCCGCTCCCTGCCCCTCCCAGCCCCGTCTGAGGGGCCCTGCCCCCCCAGAGAGACCCCCCCGCTCCCGCCCCTCCCAGCCCCGTCTGAGCGGCCCTGCCCCCCCAGAGAGAGACCCCCCGCTCCCCACCCCTCCCAGCCCCGTCTGAGGGGCCCTGCCCCCCCAGAGAGAGACCCCCCGCTCCCCACCCCTCCCAGCCCCGTCTGAGGGGCCCTGCCCCCCCAGAGAGAGACCCCCGCTCCCCACCCCTCCCAGCCCCGTCTGAGGGGCCCCGTTTCCCCCAGAGAGACCCCCCCTCGCTCCCTGCCCCTCCCAGCCCCGTCTGAGCGGCCCCGCCCCCCAGAGAGAGACCCCCTGCTCCCAACCCCGTCTGAGGGGCCCTGCTCCCCCAGAGAGAGACCCCCACCGCAACCCGCCTGCAGCTCCGTCTGAGGGGCCCCGCCCAGCAAGACCCTCCCCGCCCCGTCTGAGGGGCCCCGCCCCCAGCGAGAGACCCCCCCCCCGCTCCCTGCCCCTCCCAGCCCCGTCTGAGGGGTTGAGACCCCCCCCCCGCTCCCTGCCCCTCCCCGTCTGAGGGGCCCCGCCCTCAGCGAGACCCCCCTGCTCCCTGCCCCTCCTAGCCCCGTCTGAGGGGCCCCGCCCCAGAGAGAGACCACCCACAACCCTCCCCCAGAGAGACCACCCACACCCCCCCGCCCCGTCTGAGGGACCCCGCCCCCCCAGAGAGAGACTCCCAGCCCCACCTGAGGGGCCCCGCCCCCAAAGAGAGACCCCCCGCAACTCACCCCTGCCAACCCCGTCTGAGGGGCCCCACCCCCCCAGAGAGAGACCCCCCGCAACCCGCCCCCAGCCCCGTCTGAGGGGCTCCACCCGCCAGAGAGAGTTCCTCCCCGCAACTTGCTCCTCCCAGCCCCGTCTGAGGGGTCCCGTCCCCTCCTAAACCCTCCTCCAGCCCCATATGAGAGGCCCCGCCCCCCAACGAACCCCCCCGCTATCTTCCGTCAGCGAGACCCCCTGCAGCCCCGTCTGAAGGACACCCCCCCAGAAAACCCTCTCCTAAACCCTCCTCCAGCCCCATTGTAGGGGCCCATCCCCCCAGCGAGACCCCGAGCCTGGGGAGCCCCATCCCGTCCCTCTGTTCTCCTGCCCCGATAGTGATGCTGGGTTCTGCCCCCACGGGTGCTGGGCTTTGCTCTTCCCCCCAGGAAGTGGAGTTCCTCTCCTCCTCCATCGCCCAGCTCAAGGTGGTGCAGACCAAGTATGTGGAAGCCAAGGACTGTCTGAATGTGCTCAACAAAAGCAACGAAGGTCAGTGCAGACCCGCCCTGCGCCCTTGGGACCCCCGTTTCCCCCAGGCCCATCTGGGGATGGTGCAGTCGCAGAGGGTACCCCTTGGCGTTTGCACGCAATTGTTAAGCTCCCCGCACTGCTGCTGTAGAGCCCCGTGTCCTCCAGCTTTGTGCATGTGTCTTGGCTCTAGGCCCCCTGGAATGACCTCCCTCTTCCCATGGACCAGGTCCCGAGGGGAGGGAGTTTTCATTAGTGGTTAGAGCAAACACCTGGGAGCCAGGACTCCTTGATCCTGATCCTGGCTGTGCCGCTGACTTTCTGCGTGGCCTTGGGCAGGCCACAGCCCTGATTGGTGCCTCAGTTGCCTTACAGGGCGCATGTGTGTAATTAATTAAAGAGCTGTGAGATCTGGATGAAAGATGCTATGGAGGGGCCAGGCGTTGCTATTAACTTGCCCCAAACAGTGCAAAGCCTCTGAATACTGATGAGCACCCATAGTCGTGGCTGTCCCCCCACTCTCACGCTGCTTTTTGAAGGCCCCCCCCCCCCCTTTTCCCCCCCCGTACTGTGCAGTAGGGTGTAGTGTCTGGGTAATAACAGGCATTTGTTTCTGTCTCCAGGGAAGGAGCTGCTTGTCCCGCTAACCAGCTCTGTATCCTTTACCCACCACCTCAAAGATGCTGCCGACATTGTGCTCTGGCTCCTTGCTACCCTGGCATTTTGATTCTCATCCCAGCGGGGAACTTAACCCTTTGGGCCCCAACATGCAGCCTGCTCTGGCTTTGATGCAGCTGGCAGCTAGCAGGCTAGCGTTGAACATTTCCAGTCAGGGGACTGAAGGCTGGGAACAGTCACAGGGACCCTTTTCCCTTTACGACACTAGTCTAAATCCTGCCTGGATTGACAGCGACCGAAGCTGCTCCCGCTGGACAGCTGTTCCAGTGACCTCTCTATGAAATGATCTGTGCTGTTCCATATGGCCTGCCATCCCCATCCCAAACCCACACCCACACCCCAGCTGGCCCATTAGCCCCCTCCTTGCCAGAGGGGCCAAGAACCAAGGAGGCTGGTAGAGCATGAGCTCCCCTCTAACTCTGTGGCAGGGCTGAGGCTTGTTGGCCAAGATGCACTGGGGGCGCTTGCCCTGCAGCTGCTTGGTTTGTGCCTGCTCTGGGAACGAACAGGGCTTCTAGATCCATGCTCAGTTCCTGCTGCCTCCTCTGCCTGCTGATTTTTCCAGCGATACTGGGACACTGCAGTGTCTCTCTGCAACCTCCTCCCATTAATCCCGGCTTGGGTTTCTCCTCTGCCCAAGCGTCACAAAGCGACCTTGGGACTGAGCTGATCTTTTGATAATGTTGAAATCAGTTCTAGTCGTTCCCATGGGGACTGCACCGTTCATATCTAGCAACATGGTCCAGTGGTTAGGGCACTGGCCTGCGACCTGGGTTCTATTCCCAGCTGTAGCACTGACCTGCTGTGTGACCGTGGGTGAGTCACTTCCTTTCTCTGCACCTGTTTCCCATCCCACCTTCTCTGTCTTGTCTGTTTGGACTATGAGCTCTCCAGGACAGAGACACACACACTCTCTCTCTATTTGTGCAGCGGGGCCCTGAGTTTGGTCAAGCCTTCAACCTGCCACCACAATATAATCTAGTAAAACACTGTTTTATTAAACTGAATCTCTGGGCAAATTGCACTCACATCTGCCCGTGCTCAAAGGAGTTCTGTTGCTTTATACCAGCTCAGGAGCAGGTGTGGAGCTAAGATGCTTTTCCCAGGACCTATCACCGTAACCTTGTTGCTCTCATGGTTTCCCTGCTGGTTCTGTGTTTTCCCTTGACCTCCCTGGCAGATGTACGTCCCCGGGAAGCTCTCCGACGTTGGCCACGTGCTGGTAGACGTGGGGACAGGCTACTACGTAGAAAAGGTAGGAGGCACTCGTGAGCCAACCCACCATGACAGCGTTATTAGACTTGGTGTGTTCCAGGGAGTGGCAGGATGTGCTTTACCTGCACATAAAAGTGTTAGACTCAGAGCCATCTCTTCCCCACCCAGTCTCTCTGTATGAAATGCACTCACACCTTGAGCACAGAATTCTTGCTGTACACCCTGCAAGCTCTGCCCTGGGACTGGAGGGATGTGTCTGACAGCAGGCTAGGTAAATGGCCAGTGAGGTTAGTGCACTGGAATTCTCTGCTAGGGGATTGGGTTGCATTCCCTTAGCCAGACCTCCTTGTCTACGCTGCAGTTGGGTCTTGCAAGCTAAGCAGGTGGGTTCTTCAATGAGAAACCTTCAAAACCCAAGCAGGTACCGCAGGCAGTGGTGGTGCACTCTTCCCTGGGTGCTGCCATCTGTCAGGGCAGATGTAAAATCAACCTGCTGACCATTAACACTCGTGCAACCCTTTCCCTAAGTGTCAGGGGTTTATCCGTGGCCAAAGATGCATGGTTACGTGCTGTCACCTCTTGCTGCTTCAGTCAGAGACGACGCCATCAATTTCTATCTTGTTTTGTGGTGTTGTGATGCCCTATTGGACAGCTGTCATGTTCCACCCCAGAGGTGGCTGCATTTCAGTAACAGATGAAGTGATATATAGGTACACCTACAACTAAGGCATGCTGTGAGGCTTCATGACGTAGTGCTTTGAGGGTCTCTGATGAAAGGTGCTGTAGAAAGGCTAAGCATGTTACTGCCTGAGCAGCCAAATCTTGGAGTGATTCAAGTGTTTACCCTCTGTCCTGTGCATCACTTCATTGTCACTGCACTTCAGGCAGGGGGTGAACCCCTTCCCAGGTGCCCACCTCTCCTTGGGGTGGACATATCAGGCCATCTTTCCTCTTGCAGACAGCAGACAATGCCCGAGATTTCTTCAAGAGGAAGATAGACTTTCTGACCAAACAGATGGAGAAAATTCAGCCAGCACTGCAGGAAAAACATGCCATGAAACAAGGTATAGACATGTTGTTTTTTTCAGGCAGGCCTGGCTCTGGGGCGTTGCCCATTGCTGGCACCCACCTATTCTTAACAGCTAGAACGGCCCCTGGCCAACTCCCTTCACTGTGTGCGTGTTCTCTCCCTTGCAGCTGTGATGGAAATGATGAGCCAGAAGATCCAGCAGCTAACGGCCATGGGGGCTTCACAGGCTGCAGCAACCAAGGCATAGCCTTTGGCATCGGTTCCTTGGGCCCCGCATGCTGCGCCTTGACTGTGGCATTTTGTTCTCTTACGAGCAGAGTCTTAAAACCACCGACGAAGCAGCTGGGGCCGAAATCATCATGGCGCCATCGGGAGGCATCTGCTCTTTGTGCTGGTGGCTGTTATGTGCGTGCAGTGTCTTAAGTGCAAACCTGATGGAAGCTCTTCCCCTTTTGTATGTGGCAGGTGATATCAATGTGCGAGATAAATTAAAGCATTGCGGAACAGTACTCGGCCGCCTCTGGTGAGAGATACGAGGGGTGGGGCTATGAAGACTTCCAGTTGTCTGTGTGGCCCCTTTAAATCCAGTGGAAGTTGTTGCCAGCTGATGTGTGAGGTGGATCTGTCTCTCTGAAGCTTCTGTCCATCATCCTAGCATCTGAGCTCCTATGGGCTCTGGCCGCAGAAGGGGAGGAGGCGCAGGGGATGCAGCGGGGTGTTGCTTCTTCAGGGAGAACAAGTCTCTAATGGGCAGGCCTGTGCTGGAGCACTGCAGGGAAACAAGGTGGTTCCCATATGAGATGCAATAGGACAGCAGCCAGCTGGTGTGGAGATTCCCTTATGGCATCTGGTGAGCACCCCAGACACAAGGCAAGTCACTGGCACATACCAGCACCCCTACCCACTGGCTGGATTTCAAGCTGTGGGTGTGTTTCTTGTCAGATACATGTTCCTTCTGGTCCCACCCAGGGCTCCCACTCTCCAGCCACTCAGCGCTACACGCAGGAACCCAGTTTCCTGCTAGGATGAGGAAGAAGGGCTCTGAGGAGCAGCGGCCGTTGCCCACTGCCCCTGTTTACCATTCTGAGAGGCAGCGGGGGCCAGGCCATGATGTGATGGGTTTTTGATGGGCTGCATGTGATGTGGTTGGGGGAGGGGTAATACTGGCCAGGCTTCAAGCTGCATGTAGATCTTGAGCAGAGGGTTGCCATAGAGAGTAAGCCTAAACTGGAAGCAGGCATCTGGTCAGCATCTTATGCCACTGGCTCTTCCCCTACAGCTGCTCAGAGGCAGGAGAGTTCCCTCCCTCTTTGTCCCTGGCTGCTGAGAGAGGCAGGAAGGGAGATTGGTTCACTTCTGTTGCCCCTAGATGCAGGCCTTAGAGTTAAGATTTTTAAAGCTCCCCAGAGGATTCAGGCACCTGGATTCCCTTGGTGGGGTGTCTAAATCCCTTAGGTAACTAACACTCTCAGCTTCCATTTGTGCACAGCTCCTCTCTCCCTCAGTTCAAGGGAATTCACACGGACCACCTTCACAACTTAAAATAATGCACCTCGCTCTAGCTCAAAGCCACCTGCTGCAAGGAATGGAGAAAGGCAGTGAACAGAGCTAGAGGGGCCAATTGTATAGCCAGCACCTCTATTTAGCATCTACACAGCGGGACAGAGACACCAACTGATGGTTCCTGCTGAGTTTCGTTCCCAAAATAAACAAGCCCTTGTAGCTGAGCTGCAGAAGATTTTACTTTCACGAAGCTGCCATGGGTTTCTATTCCCTTTGGCAGAAGCAGCCTGTCTGAAACTCCTGCAGAAGTTAGGGGCTACTGGCCTCCTGAAAATCAGGCCCTGAGGTCTTAACCCCATACAGCAAGATCCAGCTCATGCCAAGTCACCAAGAGGGAAAAAATGCCCTGTCCTCCTCTGCCAATCATGCCCTAGAAGTCTAGGAGTTGGAGAGAAGTGACTTGCAGTTTGGGATCAAGATCCTGGGGCCTGCGTTTTACCAGGTGCTTTGAGGAGGGGGGTGATTGTAAGTTGGACACTAATCACTTGTGAAAACCTCAGGCAAAGGGTGGTCCTGCAGCACTGCAGGGGGCAAGGCAAAGCCCCCACCCCCAAAGGGAAACAGCTTTTCCTATCACCTATACACACTGCGAGCAGCCCCTGTTTACACCAGCCAATACAACTGACTGCACTGAGCCAGGCCTTACTGCTGCATGGTGCCCTGGAGCAGCCCCTGGGAGTCCCCTGAGGGATCCCGCCTGGCACTAGGTCACTGAGGAGGCTTTCCCAGGCCAGAGGGAACACAGACAGACTGGGGGTTTGGTTCTGAGCTTCTGTTCTGCTTCGCTCTTTCACTTCCATTGCCGCTTCCTTCTTTCAGTCTCCAATGGGACCACACCCTCAGAAGGGCAAGTCCTGTCCCCTGCTAGCCCACTGGGGCATGTCCACCAGGCAGAAAGCTGCCAGCTGGGAGGGAGGGTAGATGAGAGACGCTAAGGATCTTAGAAGGGATAAAGAACCTTTAATTAATTCAAGCGATTTCCCCCACCCTCATTATCGGTATTAGCACAATACCTGGGGCCCCCCACTCAGAGCAGGACCCCAAATACGGAACCAAGGTACCATTTCCTTCCCAACGAGCCTGACCCATACAGAATCTACACCCTCAAAACAGCAGAATTTTATTCTACACTGCACCTCCTCCTCCACAATCCATCTTTTAATGTCACCCCCCAGGAGAGGACGCCCTCCCCTGTCCCAAGACGCTGGCTTCCCTAGGATGTGTGGTGCCTTGAGTATTATGGCTTCTACCTTAAACATCCCCTCCCCCCCCAACCCTGGTCCCTGCCCCCCACCTTATGTACATCTGTAAGCTCTGTCCCCTGTGAGTTTTTTGAGGTCTGCTTTCCAAGGCTTTGACCACAATGTTGATACCATGGACGGCCACACGCGACCCGCCCCGATCTAGTGGATGGCCACGTGACGCCGTAGACAGCCATGTGACTCGCCAACTCTAAGTGCTCGCTGAGATCATGGAAGGTCAAATGACAGGCCACAGGCATGCTCAGCAACATCATGGATGGCACAGGCATGCTCAACGTGTTGATATGGTAGAGGGCCCTGCTCAGCACACGTCAATACCGTGGACACCCACGTTTGGCGACGCTGTGGCTGGTCACGTGACGGGCATGGCCATGCTTCGCAGGCATCAACGCTGTAGCCAGCCACGTGCCGAACCACACTGAGCGCATCTTGATGCCGTGCACGGTCACGTGACGGGCACGGCCCCCCTCCACGCCCGTCGTTCAGCGGACGAAAAGGGGCTTGTGGACCCTCTTGTGCCGGTTGAGCGTGGCGCTCTTGGCAAAACTCTCCCCGCACTCCACGCAGATGAAGGGCTCGTGCCCGTGGGCTTCAGCCCGGTGGCGCTCCAGCTCCGCGCTCTCGCGGAAGGCCTGGCCGCACTCGGGGCAGGGCTGGCTCTGGCGGGCGGCGTGGAGCCGCTGGTGCTTGAGGAGGTTGGTGCTCTGGGTGAAGCCGCGGCCACACTCGGTGCAGCGGTGGGGACGGGCGCCCGAGTGGGTGCGCTGGTGCTTGATGAGGTTCTTGCTCTGGGTGAAGCTCTTGCCGCACTCCCCGCACTGGTAGGGCTTCTCGCCGGTGTGGATGCGCTGGTGCTGGATGAGGTTGGAGCTCCAGCTGAAGCTCTTGCCGCAGTCACCGCAGCGGTAGGGCTTCTCGCCGGTGTGGGTACGCCGGTGCTGCACCAGGTGCGAGTTCTGGCTGAAGCTTTTGCCGCACTCGCTGCAGGTGCTGGGCCGCTCGCCGGTGTGAGTCCGCTGGTGCCGCAGCAGCTTCGACCAGTGGCTGAAGCTCTTGCCGCACTCGTTACAGATGAAGGGCCGTTGCCGGCCGGTGGCACCACGGTGTCGCACCACCATCCCCCCCTCTTCCTCCTGCCCGCCAGCCAACTCCACCAACTCGCCGCCATAGGCAGGGGGCGGCCCTGCCGGGCTCTCCGGCCCCCGGGCTTTGGCGCTGCCCCCGTCAGCTCTCTGGGGAGCCTTCTTCTTGGGCTTCTTGGCCAGCGGGCTGTGGGGGATGACGGTTTGGATGATCTCGTGCTGAAGCTCCTCCTCGCTCTCACTCACGATGCCGTCGTCAGCTGGAAAGCAAAGGGGAGCCGGGGTCGGCACAAACGCACAGCCCTGGGGCTCTGTCTGGAAGCCAGGGCTGAGCACTGCAGGGCCGCCCAAGGGATCGGAGGTCCTGTTGCCATTAAAATTCACAGCAACCAGGTATTTGGATTCTCCAGGCAGCTTCGAAAGTCTCCCCCATAGTCCTCAAGGTGGGAGAGACGGCAGAGGCCAGTTCTCATTTCAAACCCCACCCCTCCCAGCAGAGGCCCCAAGCTTCCCCTCAGCTTGGCTGGGGTGACAAGAGTGACCCACAGAACCCATGAGAACTGGATGGGGAAGCCTTTGGCTGGAAGTGCGGGGGGGAGGGGGACGGTGTATTTACAGCCCAGGACCCATGAGACATGGGAACCTCCCCTTTTCCCCACCCACCCTGTCCCGGGACACCATATGGAAGAGAATGGGCATGGGGTGGGGAGGGGGGAGAGAAGCCCAGCTGCCTTGCACCCTGAAAACAACCCCTTCCTAGCAAACCCTGCAAAACTGGAGCACACAGGGACCCCCTCCTTAGCAGAACCCCCAACTCAAAGCTGGTGGGATGGGACACTCGTCAGAGAGAGGGGTCTCCACAAAGCAACACCAAGCTTTGCCCCATGCAGGGAGGACAGGCGGAGGAGAGATCCCAGGGACCGGGGGGGAGGGATGGAACTAGGTCACCCTTTTGATGCTAGCAACTTAATGGAGGAATTAAAGCCACCCAAGGGGCACAGGGAGTTCACCCTGAAGGTGGCTCCTCAAGGCACCAGCCTGCCGAGGACCCTGCACTCAGTAACCCCCAGGCACCCCCTTCCCTTCAAATCAAAGCCACTTGGCAAGTAAAACAGCAAGTTGTGCCGAGGGGAGGGGCCTCTCAGGAGTCTCATGGAATTGGCAGGGAGCCATGAGTGACACCTGCATCCATGTGGGAAGGATGGCCCAGTGGTCAGGCCACTAGCCTAGGACTTGGCAGACCCAGGGGGTTCGAGTCCTTGCTCTGCCACAGACTTCCTGTGTGACCCTGAGCTAATCTCTTAGCCTCAGTTCCCCCTCTGGATAATGAGGACACCCAGCCCTGCCTCAGAGAGATGCATGAGGATAACTCCATTGACAACTGAGAGGTGCTTAGATACAATGTGAATGGGGCCAGACAGGTATCATACACTGCGCAAGGAGCGCTAGGCTAGGACAGATGGAACAAAGAGTCCCCTCCATCCCCTGGGTCTCAGCTCCCTCCACCCACACTTCATCAAATCGGTGGCTCCTGGGCTGGCTTCGCGTCCATCCTCACCTATGTAGACTCGTCGAACGATATCGGGGTCGTCAGAGTCATGGAGCTCCACCACGCATGGCTCTTCTTGCTCCATTGGGGGTGGGAAAGGAGACGTGAGGAGTCAGGAATCTTGCTAACGGGAGAGAGAACAGAACACAGGCCATTAACTCTCTGCCCCACAGCAGCGTCACCACTGCTCACACCCTACAGAGCCCGTTCCCCACGCGTGCAGCCATTGAATCGGACATGAGATGGAGCTCAGCAGTAAGCCCAGGAGGGACCACTGTGATCTCACAGCCTGATCTCCTGCAGAGCACAGGCCAGAGAAACTCAGCTAGCAAGTCCTGCCCTGAACCCAACGGGTGAGTTAGAGGCATCAGATTGTGTGAATGAGGCGAGTGCCGACCAGCTGAAGCACTTCTTAGCTGTCAGGTGCCTGAATTTCCTAGAAAAATCTGGCCCTAAGTGACTTCGCCCAAGGTCAGTGGCAGAGCAGGGAACTGAACCCAGATCTCCAGGCTGCTGCCCTGACCACTAGGCCATCCCTCCTTCCTTTGAAGGGCTTTGATTGCATCCCAGTGCAAATCTAGCTCTTCCAGGAGCTTCTCCTGAGATCTCAAGTTAACGCTTCACAGAACTGCTTCAGCGGGAAGGCGAGGAAACATCTGACCCGTCAGTAAGGAGCCCGGGCAAAGCGTATTACATGGGCTAGTGAGACACAGACTAGCTAACCCCGCCGTGGGCTAGCTCAGCTCCCGTTTCGGCACCATTATTTTCAGAGCTCAGGAACACTCTTGGAAAACCCAACCTCGCTTTCGGGTGTTGAGCCCCTGAAAACCCAGCCCCATGTGTCTAGTTCCCAGTGTTGCACCATCCCTGTTCTGAGCAACAGGCATTGCCAGCCACAGGTATAGAGCGCCACGGCCCCGGTAATCTAGGTGCCAAGGCTGCGATTGCTCCCCAGAGCTGCCTGGGGAATTCAGTCACCCCAACTCCTGTTCGTTTTAGCCCAACCTGACACTCCCATGCCAGGGTTCCTCTAACAGGCATGTGCTGTAAAGGGACAGTGGGACATCTCTGCACCGTTACCTGCACTCCGAGAGGCGTGGGTCAGGGTTTCCAATGCAGGCGGCGCCGTGGCAATTCAAAGGCTATTTTCCCACCTTGCCTCCCTCTCTCTGCACTGTGTTGCTGTGGCTGGATGCACTTGAAGACCTAATGGAGAAAGCAAAGCAAGTAAGAACCCTTATCATTACCTGGTCATCAGCAATACAGCAGCTTATATCCTTCTCACACCGCTCTGGGGTTGTGGGGGGCATGAGTCTCATTGCAACTGGGGCACAGGGAGATAGAATACTTAGCTCTTAAATAGCTCAGTGGGCTTGGCAAATGAGGTCACACAGTCCTTGGCCCCATTTTACAGATGGGGAAACTGAGGCATGGAGCAGCTAAGTGACTGGTCCGAGGGGTCAGGCAGGAAGTCTGTGGCAGAGCGAGGAACTGAACCCAGGTCTCTGGAGATCCAGGCTAGTGCGCTAGTCCCCCTTCCTCTCCTAGTCATCTACACGAGGGTGAGTCAGGAGGGACTGCACTGAAGTCTCTAGACCAGGGGTAGGCAATCTATAGCACGCGAGCTGGTTTTCAGCAGCACTCACACTGCCCGGGTCCTGGCCACCGGTCTGGGGGGCTCTGCATTTTAATTTAACTTTAAATGAAGCTTCTTAAAAACCTCATTTACTTTACATACAACAATAGTTTAGTTACATATTATAGACTTACAGAAAGAGACCATTGAGAAATGTTCAAGTGTATGACTGGCACGCGACACCTTAAATTAGAGTGAATAAATGAAGACTCGGCCTGCCGCTCCTGAAAGGTTGCCGACCCCTGCTCTAGAGAGACAGCCGCAGAAAACTGGGGAGGGGGGAGAATCCAGCCCAGAGTTTTCACTCCCTGCTCCTAAGAACTGAAGTCAACATCTTCCACAAAGCAGCTATTGATTTTGAGGGCCTCGGTCTTTGGGAGTCCAGCTTGAGGCCCCCGCGGCTCTGTTCCAGGGGGGCAGGATAATATTATGACATGAGGCTTTTTTAGTAAGGTAAGATCTAGTCACTTCTCTTTGGAACACAGGACTGGCAGGGACCTCCTGAGTCACAGAGGCCAGTCCCTTGTTACCGCAGGCAGACCAGTCATACAATCCTGTTCATAAATGTATCAAGCTCCAGCTTTAAGCTCGTTAAGGTGTTAGCCTCCCGCTAGGAGTCATGGAGGGGCAATTCCAGAACCTCCCTCCTCTGACGGTTAGAAACCTTCTTCGGATCTCCAGCCAGAAATTATTTCTGGCCAGTTTCTCCCCACTTGTTCTTGTGCCAACACAAGTTCTCTTTTAAACTGAAGATTCAACCTGAAAAAAAGAAAATCCGGGGAGAGGGAGGGGGGACAAAATAATCCAAAACAGTCTCTAGGGCAGGGACCATCCCTGTTTGTACAGCACCTAGTGCAACATGGTCCTGATCTGTGACTACAGCTCTGAGGTTCTACTGCGATACCAATATTAAGTTCTTACAAGGGAAGTGGTTTGTGGGGGTGGATCAGTCCTTCAGGAAATGGGGCCTGTTTTCAGAGCTTTCAAAAAAAAATTATTAAAAAAGTAAAAAAAAAAATTCTTACAAAGTCACAATTTTTGTTTTAAACAGAACTAATGCCTTAGTTTGCTGTTGTTCTGGTTTGCACTGCTGGAGTGCCCAGAGACCCCCCTCCCCAACTGAGATCACATCTCCCTCCTGTTCCTTCCTATTGTAAGGAGATGCCTTAAGGCTGAAATACCTGTTCCTGGCAGCTTTACCAGCTGGGAGATGGAGGGGACAATCCTGGTAAAGAGCAATGTCACTTGGGACAGATCAGCTGGGTTTGAGGGAGGAAAGGAGCCTGGTTTTTAGAGACTGCATCCGATGAAGCGAGCTGTAGCTCACAAAAGCTTATGCTCTAATAAGTGTGTTCGTCTCTAAGGTGCTACAAGTCCTCCTGTTCTTGTTGCGGATACAGACTGACCCGGCTGCTCCCCTGAAGCCTGTCAACCCAAAGGCTCACCCGGAGTGTCGCAACTGCCTGCAGTTGTGTGCACCCAACGGAACAATTTCTTCCCCCTCCGGTAACTGATGGCAAAGTTGGTAAAGGAGAACAAAGTGGCGGTGAATCATCCCCCGGCAGGGAGGGAGAGAGCTGGCAGGTCCCAGCAGACATTAGCCACCCACTGCTCTCAAACTCAGGGGGCAGGGGCCCCGAGTCCTATCTGGGCTCAGGGGCCAGGCAGCCATGGATCTCTCCCCCCCCCCCGGCACCCAGCTGCCCAGATCAGGACACACACACACACACACACACACCCATCGCCCCCCAGCTGCCTGGATCTCGCTCCTCCACCCGAGCCGCCAGGATCAGGACCCCCCCCCAATCACCCCCCAGCTGCCCGGATCTCGCCCCCCACCCGAGCCGCCAGGATCAG